GTACATACCCTTTTTCATGCAAGTGCCCTCATAGAGTGAATTGTAGGAGAAATACCATTTATTTGAGGCCTCGCCTGTAGAAAGAGGCTGTCCTGGGAAAGCCAGGATACTCACTAGTTTGTGAATGTCCCTGAGAAAGAGTGACTTGTAAACATTTTATTTTTTTTAAGCCCTTGCCACACTCAATGTGGGACTTGAACCCACAACCCTGAGATCAGCTGAGCCATCACCTGAGCCAGCCAAGTACCCCAAGTGTGAATTTTTTTTTAAAGATTTTATTTATTCATGAGAGACACACTGAGAGAGGCAGAGACACAGGCAGAGGGAGAAGCAGGCTCTGTGCAGGGAGCCAGATATGGGACTTGATCCCGGGACTCCAGGATCACATCCTGAGCCGAAGGCAGGCGCTAAACCCCTGAGCCACCCAGGGATCCCCTACCAAGTGTGAATTTTTAATCTGGATTATACTTGAGTTTCACCAGCCTTTTTCATTGTATTCATAGGAAGTTGCAGCTGGTCGATCAGCAATCCTACCACCCCTGTTATCCTGAGTTTGGTTCTGAAGCTATCTATGGCTTTAGAATCTCACAAGTGATCTTCTTTATCATTTGAAGGAATCATCCTGTCTCCTCACTCTCGCTTTACAGTTTCCAAATATCACTTAGAGTTTTTTATTCAGCTGAGTAGCTCTATGGACAGCAACACCTATGAAGAAAGGGTTTTATCAAATATATGACTTAACACTATCATTTAAGAAGTAGATGTACTAAAATAGGCCAACTAATTTCTAGTTTTTAAGACCAAAAAACAAAAAAAAAAAATACAAAGGTAACTAAAACTCCTTATTTAAAAAAAAAATCACATTTTTTCAGATGTGTCCACAAACTAGTGGGTGTCCTGGCTATCCCATGACAGCCTCTTTCTACAAATGAGGACTCAAATGAATTGTAACTATCCTGGTGCTGCTATGAGGGCACCTTATATTTAAGAAAAGTGTAAAGTACTGCACTCGGTGAAAATATTTTACTGAGATTGAGTGGGGCTTAAGACCTTTCTTCCAGAAAGAAGGCTTTGATTGTCAGGCATATATTAAGTTCTGAAACTAAAGCTATATATTTGTGTTTATTAAAAATTATGTCAGTAAAAAAAAAAATTGTCAGTGGGAGGCACCTGGGTGGCTCAATCGATTGTGCATCCAACCTTGTTTTAGCTCAGGTCATGAGATCTCAGGTGCTACACTGATGGTTGGCATTTGAGATAAAAATCCATTCAATATAGAGCCTGGTTGTTATTCTATTGCAAAATCAAAACTGAGAGCTGTGAATTTACTATATTTATTTAAAATAAATAACGTATGAAATACAGATTTTGGCACAGATAGAAATGGGACAATCAAAATCAATGGATTTAACCTGCATGCTTCATTTGCTCACAAACTTGTACACACTAATAGTCTACAAAAGAAACTATTATAGTTGGGATGTCTGGGTAGCTCAGTGGTTGAGTGTCTGCCTTTGGCTTGGGGTGTGATCCTGGAGTTCTAGGATCAAATCCTGTATCGGGCTCCCTGCAGAGAACCTGTTTCTCCCTCTGCCTCTCTCTGTGTGTCTCTCCTGAATAAATAAATAAAACAAAAACAAAAACAAAAAACTATTGTAGCAAAGAGAACTGCCTTTTTGATTTTGTCTGATTTCTTTGTTGACCCATTAGCATGTTGTCAGAAAACTGTCTTTTTGCAAACAAGCCTAAAATTATCCTTCCAAAGAGACCTAAGTAAATATTCATATAGAGGTCTAAAGAATTACTGTTCAACATAAATGTTATTTCTAGAAAAAACTTAACTGCATAGGTTAGAATAACCGCGTGTGACGTTTTCAGCCACTGAAGCACCAATTCAAAGAAATTTTAAAATTATTGTTTTTATGACAGTATATACAAATAAACATTGATCAAAACTCAGGAAGTAAATACCTAGATTAACACAAGTCAATGGTCAGGAGATTTTTTGTTTGATTGAAGTATCTTATCATCTCTTAAAAAAATTAAGTGCTAACATATAAAGCAGGCAAATTCTTCAAGTAATTTGTTCTTAAGTATGCCAATTTTTATAGATCTGAACAAGGAATAAGAAAAAAACTGAAATGAAACCGGAGGATAGACATGGGGGGAAAAACTGACCAATCATAGCTGGACAAATGCTACAATACTATCCTGGCCTGAACAGGATATTTCATTAAATGCATGAACAGATTAACAGGTATCTGCTGATTTAGTATACTAACTCCCTTATATTGCTAAAATTCCTGCAACAATCAGTAGGCATACATGCAGTCTTAAGGAAAAGAGTACCACTTAAACATCAGCATTGGACACCAACTAAAGCAATCTTTAAAATGTTTTTATTATTCGCTATTACTGTGAATGAATATAAAATGTAATCAATCTTCCAAATGAAGAACTCTAGCCTTGTCCAAAGTTTAATGACTTCTTGGGGGCACCTGGCTGGCTTAGTCAGAGGAGGAATAATTGACTCTTAATCTCAGGTCATGAGTTCAAGCCCCACCTTGCATGTAGAAAAAACATTTAATGACTTCTGCCCATTAGCTGTTCTCCCCAGGAAGTTTTCTGTTAACCAAATAGTGATTAAAGTAAGCTTCACCATTAATCAAATGGCCTTTGTTGTAACCTTTTTCTTTTCTACAAGAAGGAGTGCACAAGATTCAAACAAAATCTTCCTTGGCCACTTTGACTGTCAAGATCTTTGCACTTTTTCTACTAGTTTCTAACCGGCCAGGTTCCATTCAGCATAGTCATTACTGCCCTCTGACATGTTGTCACTTAGGTCACTTTCAGACCATGAAATCATGTCCCGAGCTAAAGTCAGAGGCTTAACCCACTGAGCCACCTAGGCACCTCTACCCTTTCACCTTCTTAATGTTGTATTTTGATGAGAAAACGTAGACTTTCTTAATTCTAGCAGAATTAGGTTTACCCATATTTTCATCTTTGGTTAGCATTTCCTTATGTCCTTTTAAAAAAGAAATAGACTATTTTTTAGACCAGTTTTAGGTTCATAGCAAAACTGAGCAGAAAGTACAGAGATTTCCTAAGTACTCTGTCCCCCCACGTAAACACCACCTCTTCAATTATCCTCAGCCCCCACCAGAGTGGTGTATTTGTCACAGATGATGAACCTACATTGATACCTCATTATCATCTGAAGCGTAGAGTTTACATTAGGGCTAGTGTACATTTTCTGGGTTCTGACAAATTTATAGTGACATGTGTCCATCATGATAGTATCATACAGAATAGTTTCATTGCCCTAAAACTCCTGAGTGCTCTGTGTATTCATCCCTCCCTCCCCACGAACCCCTGGCAACCACTGATTTTTTTTTTTTACTGTCTCTACAGTTTTGTGTTTTCAGGAGTGTCCTATAATGGGAACCATACAGTATGTAGCCTGAAACTGGCTTCTTTCACTTACATATGCATGCATTAAACTCTCCATGTCTTTTCCTGGCTTGAAAGCTCCTTGTGTGTGTGTGTGTCCGTGCACGAACTCAATGATATTCCATTCTCTGGAATTTTCAACTAATTTGGGTAAATGCCAAGGGGCATGATTGCTGATAAGAATATGTATAGTTTTGTTAGAAACTGCCCGACTGTCTTCCAAAGTGACTACCATTCTGCATTCCCACTAGCAATGAATGAGAATTCTTGTTGCTCCACATCCTCACCAGCATTTGGTGTTGACCATGTCTTGGATTTTTGACATTCAAATAGGCATGTAAGGGTATCTTATTTGTTGTTTCAATTTGAGTTTCTTTGATGACATGTTGTGGAACATCTTTTCCTATGCTTATTTGCCACTTGCATATCTTTGGTGTCTCTTCATATCTTTTGCCCATTTCCAAATAGCTGTTTGTTTCCAACCATTTCCAAAAGGTTGTTTGTTTTCTTGTTGAATTTAAGAATGATGTTTTGGGGGCAATTGTCTGGCTCAGTCAGTGGAGTATGCAACTCTTGATCTCAGGGTTGTGAATTCAAGCCCCACATTAGGTGTAGAAATTACTTAAAAAGTCTTTAAAAAATGTTTTGGATAGCATCCCTTTTTAGGACTTATGTATAAGGATCTGTTCCTGTTTCACATTCCTCCCAACTTTGAGGACATCAATCATGCCTTCTGCCCTAGCAGAGGTATTGGAACCTCAGTTCCTAGATTTTAGAGTGAATTTCAGTCTAAAATTCCATGGGGCATTAGTATGAGCTCACTCCGGCTTTGATTTCTCCCCCTCCCCACTTCTTAGGACCTCTGAGAAAACTTCCCTTAAATCAAAGATACGAAGTCTCACTACCCCTTAAGGGGATATGTGGGTGTGAGTATGATGGGGCAGGAGAGTCATAGGGGCAGCCTAGAATAGTGGAACTACATACCTCCAATTTTTTCTTTTTTATTTTTAAAAGATTTGATTTACTTAGAGAGTGTGTGCTAGTGGAGGCGGCAGAGGCAGAAGGAAAGAGAGAATCCTAAGCAGACTCTTCCCACTTAGTGTGGATCTTGACACAGGCTTCATCTCATGACCTTGAGGTTACAACCTGAGCCAAAACCAAGAGTCAGATGCTTAACCAACTGAGCCACCCAGGCCCCCAAAATGCCTCAGGTTTTTTTTTTAATTAATTAATTTATTTATGATAGTCACACACACACACAGAGAGAGAGAGAGAGAGGCAGAGACACAGGCAGAGGGAGAAGCAGGCTCCATGCACCGGGAGCCTGATGTGGGATTCGATCCCGGGTCTCCAGGGTCGCACCCTGGGCCAAAGGCAGGCGCCAAACCGCTGCGCCACCCAGGGATCCCTGCCTCAGGTTTTAAACTGACAATTGCTGTCACCTAATTGCCAAAAAAAAAAATATGTTGAGGATGGTGCAAGTATTCTAAGGAGTTTGGCCATATGCTCCTTTGCAAACACCATTATTAAATACCTTTCCTTTTCAGATGTGCGTTCCAAACAGGAGTATGACGAAAGCCATGTGATTACAGCCCGTCGAGTGAAGAAGGTATACTGGCAGAGTCAGAATGTGGGGCAGGCTGGTTATCTTACAGGAGGGTGGGGGAAAATGCGGGATTTTATCCTAGATCCAGGAGGCAGCACAGTGGTGGACACTGTGGACAGCAGAGGCAGGACCACCCCTGTGCATCCACCAGGAGGGTCTCCCACATCTCTCACATATTCCCTAAGGTGTCCCCACCAGCTATGATGGCCAACAGCTTCACTGAGCAAATGTTGATTTAATTCCTTGTTGTGCCAGGCACTGTTCCAGACCTTGGAGATGCAACAGAATACAAGATGCCCATGGTTCATTGTTTCCTGTCCTACTCAGGGAAGCAGATAATAATAAACCATTAAAATGATTACTATAATCCAGGGACACCTGGCTGGCTTAGACTGAAGGGCAAGCGACTCTTGATCTTGAGTTTGCAGGTTTGAGCCCCACGCTGCTGTAGAGATTACTTGAATAAATAAACTTAAAAAAAAAAAGATTATGATCCAAAGATGGAAACCACTTCCCTTCCCTACTTCCCCACCCCTCCCCCATTCCATCGTTCAAAGAAATTATTTATTTGAGAGAGTGAGCAAGCACACAAGTGGGGGGGGGCTGGCAGTGGGGAGTAGCAGAGGGAGAGGGAGAAGCAGACTCCCCCTCGAACAGGGAGCCTGACGTGGGACTGGATCCCAGGACACTGAGATCATGACTTGAGCTGAAGGCAGACCGTTAATTGACTAAGCCACCCAGGTGCCCTTGCTGGGAGATTTCACTCAGGCTTCCAGTTTTAACTCTCCAACTGCCATTAGCCGTCCTGTCAGTTTTGCTTCTAAGGTTATATCTGGCAAAGCTGACCCCTCCCCTTCCCACTGCTGCTGTGCTGGTATGCACTTTATCTCTGGCCCTTTGCCACGGGGCACTTGATAGGGAGCCTGGGCCCTGGCTCAGGCATTTTTCCAGGATAAGCTTGCTGCTTGGGGTCTGGCTCAGGGGTAGAGCATCTGACTGCAGGAAAAGCTCACTGCCTAACACTCTCCTCACCCCAAACCCATCATTACCTACTTTTTCTCCTTGGGGGTTTTCAACTCTCTGACTTCAACCTCTAGCCCATAACCCCCATTTCAGAACATTCTCTGCTTTCTGCAGCTGGTTCAGAACCTCTTTGTCATATATGGCTTTCGGTTTCTGGCTCCACTCTCAGGTCTGCATATTCTTTGGATTCTGGCAGCACCCCCAGCTCTGGAAGAGACCTTCCCGGGGCCTCAGCTAGGCTGACACCTCTTGGCTCCCCTCCCCAACTTTCCTGCCAGCACGGTCCCCCTACAGGACTCAGCTCATGGCCTCCCTCTTTGGCTTCCCCACATAACATGCCTGCTTCTACTCTCCCCTGGCACCTCAACAGCATCGCCCTACTTCAAATATCCTTGGTTCTAAGATGCACATATTCCCCCATATTTTAACACTTCTGAAATTGAAATATATCCTACAATTGATCGACGCTTTAATGTGTATCTTTTCTCCCAAAAGTGATGTGGCAGAGATCCGTTCCTTTTCTTTTTAAATAAATATTTATTTATCTTAAAGAGCATGAGCAGGAGGACAGGCAGAGGGAGAGGGAGGGAGAGAATCCACAAACAGACTGCGTGCTGAGCATGGAGCTTGATGCGGGGCTGGATCTCACAACCCTGAGGTTATGACCTGAGCCAAAACCAAGAGTCAGCCACTTAACCAACCGAGTCCCCCAGGGACCCCCTGTCTGTTCCTTTTCTGTGTAGCAACACCCCCCTTTTTTAAGGGGAACTCTTCTTCTTCCTGTTTAAACCGTGGGAGTCTAATGGTGATCCCTAAGATAGTACCCAGATCCTGGCCTTGGTGATTGGCCATGGGCCGAGGATGGAAATAGCAAAGCAGAGTTGTAATTAGAGAGGGTGGCTCTTCCCCTTCTCATAGTGGAGTTTGGAGGGTGTGGGCATCTGTGTGTCACTGTGGCTGTGTCACAGGCCTCAGGACCAAGTAGTCTGAGAAGGTGAAGTCAGCGTGCAGGGGGAGCAGAGAGGAGCACCTGAGGGGGAGGTCTGGGCTTTAGAGCCCTGGTTCAGGTTTTCCTGGGGACCAAGAAGTTTTGTTATATGCCAACAAGTCCCTCCTTTCATGTTCACTCCTGACAGCAATGGTTTTTAAGTTGGTGGTGCCTGTAGCTTCATCAGGCTCCCTGCTCAGTGGGGAGGGAGCCTGCTTTTCCCTCTACCACCCCACGCCCCAGTTGTGCTGTCTCTTTCTTTGTCAAATAAATAAACAAATAAAATCTTTAAAAAATTGGTGGTGCATCTTCCAACTAACGGTCTCTTAATCTAGAAAATATAGTACACAGGCCCCATGAGCACACTGCTCTCTCAGGCCTCCAGATCTTTCTCTGGGAACATGAGAATGGGTGTGCCTTGTTCATCACTGTGTCCTGGAGGCTCGGTCGGGTCCCTGGCATCTGGGATGTGCTCTGCACCTGTTAGTTGACTAAAATGACCAGCTGGATGCTGTTCCTTCTGCCTGGAATGTTCTCCTCACCCTTATCCATCTGGCAGTTCACCCTTACCCTGCCACCCTGCACAGCCTTCCTGAGTTCTCCAGGCCAACTCGGGTGTTTCCCTGTGCCATTTTGAACCTCTATATTCCAGAACCCCACATGGTGTCAGCATAGAGTGGACCCTTAGCATATAATTATTGAGCTAACAAGTGAACATCCAGCCACATCTGTCCTCTCCCACCTGCTCCACGTCTCTACTCCCTTTCCCCGTGCTCATTCAGAAACCCCCCTTCCCTCATTATCTGTGCAAACCCTGTTCGTCCTGAGTACCATTTCTCTCCTAGTTCCTCCAGGCAAATATGATTCCTCCTCTCTCAACCTCAGAAAATTTTCTGGTCTGTTCCTCCACGGGCCTTGCTTGACTGTCTTGCAGTAGAATCGATAAACACTTGCCCTGGCCCACCTGCAAATGCTCTTTCAGGCCATCTATGGCATCCAGACTGGGATGCAAGGGACAGAGTAGTGGGGGCCACCCAGCCAGGCCTCCTCGAGCTCTGGGGCACTCTTGGGGATCCTGGGCATTGTCCTTGCTCTGGTGGTTTGCCTTTCTGGCAACTCAGCCGCTCCCAACTACTCACGATGTCCTGGTTCCTGTTGGCGCTTTCCTTCCTCTGACTGTATTTATAGCCACATGCCAGGTACTGTTCCAGAAGCACAGGGTACATCAGCGACTACAAAAGAACAAAAGTTCCCACGCTCACAGAGCATACATTTGAGCGTAAAGTCTGCCACATTATATCCACAAGCCTCCTGCTTGTTGCCCTTTTAATGCAGACTTGACCCCCACGGCCAACCACCCTCACCCAGAGAGGAGATGCCATCAGTTTGGCTTCAGTTGCTCTGAGAGCATGTGTGCCAGGCCACCCAGTGGGCTGCGGGCCAGTTACTAGGCCAGCTCTTTTTCAGTCAGGCACCATCTCTGGTCTGGTCAGCTGTGGTCAGCTTCCCTCACAGCAGGGCATGTGGATGTGGAAGGTGCTCGGCATTTAGTATACTTTCAGGTCCCTTCTTGGCACTTTCGTACCTGTAGTGTGTGGTCAGGGGAACAGGCACGGTCCTCCCTCTAGCTCCACCCAGAGCTGGCATGCAGGGAATATGTGCCCAATGGAACCCATCTGCCAACAGAACCTTTCTTGTGGTTTCTTTAGAAGGAAAATGAGTATCTTATCCCGGAGTCTGTGGATCTGGAGTGTGTGAAATACTGTGTGGTATATGATAATAACACCAGCACCCTGGAGATAATCTTAAGAGAGCAGGACGAGGATGACAACTCTGATGATAGCAGACAAGGTAGGTTTTTACGATTGCAGCCAGAAGCACAGCTGGTGGTTATCAAACACTTTGCTGCATGCCGGGAACCATACCAAAGGCTCTCTCTGGGCCAGCTCCTGCAATTTTCAGAACACACCCATGAGAAATAGTAATGTCAAGAACTGGGGCAAGGCTGAGATTTTTTTCTTCCTTGCAAGATGACAAGTGAGCTTGCCACAGTCTCATGGATGCTGGCAGAAGACGTGCAGCTCCTGAGTCAGAAACGATGGACTTTATTCTTCAGAGCCCTGAAAGTAGCCAGAATGTCCTCATTTTCTTGCCCTGATGCCGAAGCCCCCATTCTCACAGGGTGACAGGAAGAGGGCCAAGTAAAACCTACACACAGTGGGTTGTATGACAGGAGAACCCTGAGCTCAGGGAATTTTTTTTTTTAAGATTTTATTTATTTGAAAGAGAGAGAGAATGAGCAGGGGGAGGAGACAGAGAGAGAGAGAGAGAAGCAGACTCCCTGTTGAATGTGGAGCCTGATGCAGGGCTCAGTCCCAAGACCCTGAGACCATGACCTAAGCCAAAGTCAGTTGCTTAACAGACTGAGCCACCTGGGTGCTCCCACGGCCTGAATCTTTTATAATGGGAAGAAAACATGCCTGCCCCTGGCTCTGGAGGGAGAAATAGTCTATCTTCCAAGGCTCTTCGATATACAGATATTCTTGAAAGGCCAGTACCTTTGCTCACAGGACACATAGAAACCTGAGAGGCCTTCGAAAATGATCTCTATAGATGGGGAAATTGAGGCCCCGAAGGTGCATGCTGTAACTTACTCCAGGTCCCACACATGTTGAATTAGTTATTTATTGCCATGTAATGAATTACCTCCAAACTCAGTAGCTTGATACAGCAAACCTTAATCAACTAACCAGTACCAGGTTCTGGTAGACACGGTGTGTCTCCTGAGATTGCAGTCAGGATACTGGCTTTGGTTGCTGTCATCTGAAGGTCTGACTGGGCTGGGATGATCTGCCTCCAAGGTGCATCACTCATACAAGTATGGCTTCCATTCCCCACCACCTCTCTGTAGAACTGCTTTGGTGGCCTTGTGACATGGCAGCTTGTCTCCCCCAGAGCGAGCCATCCAAGAGAAAGAAAGAGCTAAGGAAAGCCACATGCCTTTTGCAACCAAGTCCTGAGACCTCTGGTCACTTCTGCTATATTCTGTTCATTAGAAGGAAGTCACTGAGGGCAGACTACCCTCAAGGAGTGGGGAGTCAGACTCAACCTCCCTTTATATTCTTTTAAATATTCTTTCTTGTATTTTTTTTTCTTTCTTGTATTTGAAAGAATTTGTGGACTGCTTTTGAAACCCTCACACCTACTAAACAGTGGGGTTGGGATTTGAACCCTGGGCAGGTTGGCTGTGTCTGGTCTCCCAAGGCCTGGATAGTGGAGCTGGAGAGCAATGCAAAGTCACTCCAGTCCTGAACCCGAGCATTAAAACTTGGTCAGCTCTAATTTTCTTATCTGCTTTCTGGGGTGCCCCTGCCTTCTCCACCCAGCTCCTGGTTTGGGACTGACAACCCCTTGCCATTCGTCATAGGGGCTCTGCTGCTGGGGGCTCAGTCATGAATATGCGTGGTTTCCATGGGCCTGGGTGTTCACAGCAGCGGTCACTGGGTGGCACTAGGCTTCCACCTTTAATAAAACCAGTCTTCACAGGAGGTCCTGTGAAATTGTGCCCTCTTTCCCTAAATTTACCGGATTGAGTTCCAGTCTGCAATCCTGGGATTGTACACTGGACCCTAAAACCACAGGAAATGGTGGCCAATAAAGATAATCCTGCCTACGTTCTATAAATGACCTCATGGAACCCCCATTCTCCCTCAGTAGGAAATCACAACCACAAAACAACACAGAAAACCCAAACTGCATGCGCGCGCACACACACACACACACACAGACCTTGTCCACTTAAGGTACTTTTCTCCTTTAAAAGGGCAGCTTTCAGGCAAACACAGAGTCTCTGGGGTAAAAGGCCATTTTGAAGTTTTTCTCCCCATTCCCTTTCTACTGTTAAGCACCCACCTCCCCGCCACCCCGCCACCCCCCCATACCCTCCCACCCCCACCCCCCCACCCCTCAAGGAAATCTGGTTGTGGGCGGAGCTTCCATCACATCCTAGAAGCAGGGATCTGGCTCTTTGCAATCCTCTTCTGCTGGCCTCCTGGTGTGTTGCAGCTCATCTGTGTGGCCTTGGGTGGTGGGCCTCTGTCCTTGCTGTGTCCATGGCTGAAATATCTCCATCCAGGGTCCTCACAGCCCTGTCCCCTCCTTACCAGGCTTTCCACGGGTGCTACTAGTCCTGGGGCTGCGGCTGCCTCTCTTCTCCAGCATTAGCTTAACCCCTCTCTGGCCCTGCTGGGGGTGTGTCTCAGGATTCCTGGTGGGAAACAGGGCACAGGTGGTTTTTAGCACCTACCCCCTACCCCTTGCAGACAGGAGTTTTTGTTTTGTTTTGTTTTTTTTAGGAGTTTTTTATCTTCTCATCTAGTTTTCTTCCTAAGATCCTGGAGAGCACCTTCATTTGTCTTGTTCTCTGTGGTCCTTTCTCCCAAACTCCTTTTACCAGGCACAGGGCAGTCCCCTCCTTGTAGGAGAGAAATTTTCCTTATGTTAAATCAGCCTGCCTTCCTTGCAACATATGAACTATAGACCCTGCCCTCCCCCCCCACCCCCAAACTGGGCTCTTGATACATGTGGGTGGAGTTCCCTGGGCTGGGGCCTTCACCACAGCTGTGGGGGGAAGCTTTGGGAATGTGGACATTTTAGTTTCCTCCTTTCTGAACAAAGCCTGACTTTCAAGCCACTTGTCTGGCTAAGTAAGGACCAAAAGGAATTTAACTTAAAGCTCGCTGCTGAGTAGAGAGCCCCTTGGCCTGAGTTGTTACCCCAGTTCAAATTCTGCGAAGCCTCACATCGTTGGAAAACTCAAGATTAATAGGATTAAAAGTGAATTTAATGTTAATGACCCCATTATACCTGTGGCTGGGTAGCCTGGGCCCCAGACTGTTCTCATGGCTTTCCCCTGGAATCTCTAATTGTCTTCCTGAAACTGGATCTAGGTTCTTCTTCCAGATACAGTCCTCCACATGGGTCTCAGGCCCCTGCTGCCCTCAGCAGCTCCTGCTGGAATTGGTTTTCCCTGAAAAGAGAAGTCAGAGTCCTTGCCCTTCCCTTTCTCCTTTCAGCTGACTCTCCCGCGCTGACAGAACCGTATTTGTCTTCAGGGTTCAGATCCTGGCCTCAGGATATCTTGGTTTAGCCTTAATAATGCAGACTTGCTGACCTATATATCTAGTTTGCATACAGTCTCCTAGTGATTCTGCAGAGCAATGAAGGCTTTTAAGATTAAATCAATGGCAAAACCACAATGAGCTATCCCTCCACACCCACTAGAATGCCATGATAAAAAAGAGGGCTACTAGCAAGCCTCGAGGAGGATGTGGAGAGATGGGAACACTCCCACTCTGCTGGTCACAGTGTAAAATGCATCAGGTGCTATGGAACAGTTTGGTGTTTCTTTTTTTTTTTAATTTTTATTTTATTTATGATAGTCACACAGAGAAAGAGAGAGGCAGAGACACAGGCAGAGGGAGAAGCAGGCTCCATGCACCGGGAGCCCGATGTGGGATTCGATCCTGGGTCTCCAGGATCGCACCCTGGGCCAAAGGCAGGCGCCAAACCGCTGCGCCACCCAGGGATCCCCAGTTTGGTGTTTCCTTCAAAAAGTTATACATAGAGTTATTGTATGATTCAGTTCTGCTCTGAGGTACCTACCCAAAAGAGATGAAGACCTGTGCACACAGGAACCTGTCCATAAGTGTTCACAGTGGCACCATCCACAGCAGCCAAGAAGTGGAAATGGCCCAATGCGCCTCGACAGATGAGCGGATAAACCAAAGATGGTAAAGCCACACAATGGAATAGTATTCAGCCCTAAAAAGAAATGGAGTACAGACACACACTATGACATGGATGAGCTTTGAAGACTCTATGCTAGGTGAAAGAAGCCAGATGCAAAACCATATACCGTAGGATTCCCTCTGTACAAAATGTCCAGAATAGGCAAATCCATAATGAGAAATTAGTCTGCCTCAAGCTGGCTGTTTGAAGGGAAAGAAAGAGTGAAACCTATGCACAACTCTGTGAATAGACTAAAGACCATTACTTTACATACTTTAGGTGAATTGTATGGTATATGATATATGATGTATATGTAAGAGAGAGATTTTCCTTATGTTAAATCGTCTTTCCTTGCAGTGACGTGGAGAGCTATAGAATTGAAGAGTTTACAGAAAGGAAGGATCAACTTACTTGGTAGCAAGTGGCTTTTTAAATTTTAGTCGTTAACACTCCTCTCCATTTAGATTTGCTTCGGGCTTCTAGACCGTTGCCTTACCAAATCAAGTGGCCATCAACTGGGGCTTTAGGCAAATGGTGAGCGCCCAGGGCACGCACACTCAACTCTTTGGTCTCCACTCTTAGAACTGGTGCCTGGAGCTGCTGTGGCATGTGGCAGAGCCCTGGCGCAACTCACTCACCACCCTGTCTGCATCCTAAAAGGAGGTTATGAGTGCTTCTCGGCCATGTACCACTTCTTTCGGACACAGAAGATCATCTGGATGCCACAGGTAAGGTAGGGCACTGAGCACAGGAAGGCTCAGATGGAAGCATGGCCTTCCGCTGGGGACTGAGTGGTAGGGAGCAGGGTGGGAGAAAGAGGAGGCTTGTGACATGGGAATGATAGAAGAGATGTAGGAGACTGTGCTTGGGAAGTGGATCTGGGGCAGCCAGGAGATCCAGACCATGAGGGTGAATTTCTCATTGCTGGGTTCAGGCCAGAGTTCACGGGGTGGTGAACAGGTGGTCCCCATCCAGAAAGCAAGGGTCCCAGGGGGAGCTCTGGATGGCAGGCCCTCACCAAAGACAGGCAGGGGTACCATGATCTGAGGCTGCCTGTCCGTTCTCAGCTGTTGGGACCTACAAGCCCTGGATGGTCCAGAGGACACAAAAAGGATCTGCTAACGTCTCTGCCCATGAGGAGTTCTTGGCTAGCAGGAGAGACCGGGGCACCCCAGGTGTCTGGAGCCCAGAGGGGAGGCACCTCTTGGAGCTGATCAGAAGGGCGTGGAGGGTGACTGAGGTGGGCATGGGGTGGCCGTGGCTGACAGGCAGGAGCTGGTCCCTGGAGGGCATTGTGCAGTGTGTGGGGCTTATTGAAGAGTCTGATGCAATGGGAGGTAGACCTGGCTTCATTCTTTCCAGGAATTACCTTCTGCTCTTTGCCCTTAGCAGCACCTTGGGCAGATTCCAGAAGTTCTGGTCACTTTCAATCTAATCCTAAAATGATAGGGAGAATGTGCATTAATTAACTGGATCTTTCAGAGATCCAGAATGAAGTATTTATGGGCTAAAACAATATGACGTCTCTAATTTCCTTCAGAATGATTTCGGGCAGGTGTTGGGAAGTGGGTGAGGGTAGAGCTAAAACAAAGCAGGCCATTAGCTGATGATGGGTGATCGACCCAGGGGTTTATTATACCGTTCTCTCCACTCTTGCATATTTTGAAATAATCTCTTAAAAGGGAAGAAAAGCAATCAGTCCAATATAAGTGAAGCTAGTTTAACATTTCAATCTCAGATTTGAGTCAAGTCTCTTTTTCCCATCCCCTAGAGCTGGGCAGTCTTGCTGGGGGTGGGAAGGGTGAGAGGTGTGGGTTAGCTGAAGGGACTTCTCCTCTCTGCCCTGCTCCTGGGCCTGTGACTTGGGTGCTAGGGGTCCAGAGTGGGGCCTGTCTTGTGGGACTGCTATCTGTCAGTGGTGGGGCAATGCCTTCTCACTCAGGTCCCCCCTGGTTCTGTATATTGCTGGTAGCCTTGGCTGCTGGTTTCCTTGTGGCCCGATTTAGGGGCCCTGTCTGCTACTAAGGATCTTTCAGAGAAAGCCAGCTGGGGCTTCCTGCCAGGAACACCGCCAATTCTTCATTTTACTTTCTTAGCCCATGACTCCTGACCATATCCGCACTCCCTCAGCTGAATCACTGAAGGGACCACAAGGGAATGAAGGTGGGGAAAGATGCCCAGGTGGACCTCCTACCCTTGCTGACTCAGCAGCTCTAGCCAGCCTGTGCGAAAAGGCAGGGACACAGGTCTGAGGTCCTATGTGTTCCCGAATCCAGGGTAGTTACCTCATGTCTCCCTCCTCTCCTTCCTCTGAGATGATCACACTATGATTTTCAGCTCCACAGGTGTACCACCAACCTCTCCATCCTGCCAGATACTGCTCACTCCTAGAGGAGCTGCCCTTACTGGCTTTTCAGTGTACAAAATAAGTGTTTCTCTGTAAACATCCTCATACTGATAACTCACCTCCTGCCCTTTAAAAAAAAAAACAGCTTTAGTAAGGTATAATTGATGTAGGATGATCTGTACATATTTAAATGTACATTTGGGGGGATCCCTGGGTGGCGCAGTGGTTTGGCACCTGCCTTTGGCACAGGGCGCGATCCTGGAGACCCGGGATTGAATCCCACGTCGGGCTCCTGGTGCATGGAGCCTGCTTCACTTCTCCCTCTGCCTGTGTCTCTGCCTCTCTCTCTCTCTGTGTGTGTGTGACTATCATAAATTAAAAAAAATAAATGTACATTTGGGTCAATGTTAACATGCGTATACACCTGTGACTTGTCCTTGCCCCATCTTACATAGATTGGGAAGAGGGGTGGCTGGTGGCTGCTGGTGGTAGCTAGCAGGGCCTATGTGGGCTGAGCTCTGCCTTAGGTGTCTATGGCCTTCCTTAGAATGTAGTCACCTAGCATGTGTCTCTCCTTGCTTTGAACCTTTGTTAGTAACTCAGGGGCAAGAATGGAAGCCCCCACTCCCGTCTTCCCCACTCTGACACACTGTAAAGCAGAGGTGTCCCTGCAGCTCCCTTGGAACTCCTTCTAGGAGGGCACTGACCTTTGGGCTTTAGACAGAGAGACTTCTCATTTCCTCTATTTTACTCATGGTATCTGTTAAATAAGATTTCACTTGGAACAAAAGGTTTCTGTGACTAAAACATGAAGCCAGCACTAGAGAGAGATGGTGATGAGCCCTGGGTGGCTGGTGCAGTCAGATTACACTTGAGAAAGATCGTTAGTGATCCCGGTGTGGACAGTAGACCCATGAAGGGCCAGGTAGGTCTGGGGAAGGTGGAAGGCAGCTGGCGAGGAGAAGACACTTAGGCAGTGGCACTGATTAGATACAGGGGGGAGGGGAGTGAGGATGGGGACATAGGGGAGGGAGGGAGGAGCCTGGGATTGGTGCCCTGGTTCCTAGTGTGGGAACACAGGAGGCCTACGTAGTGTGGGGGAGGGCAGTGGGCTCAGTTTGGAATCCTCATCAATGTGGATGGCAAAATCATGTCATCTCAAATTAACATGCGCTTGCTCTTTTTTTTTTTTTTAAGATTTTGTTTATTTGAGAGACAGAGCACGCGTTGAGTGGGGACAGAGGGAGAGGGAGAAGAAGACTCCCTGCTGAGTAGGGAGCCCAGTGCAGAGCTAGATCCTGGGACTCTGAGATCATGACCTGAGCCAAAGACAGACACTTAACCAACTGAGTCACCTAGGTGCCCCAACATGCACTTGCTCTTCACAACATATTTTTCCCTGCCATGCAGCCACAGGAAAGGAAGCTGGTTTGAAAGCATCAGGAAGAGTTAGTAGATGTGTTTTTGGTGTTCAGTGAGATTTTCTGGATGAAACTGGGAGAGTTTCCTTTGGCTCCAGCAAGTTGAGCCCTGGGGAGCCCCAAGTTGACTGGGGTCAGCCTGAGCCCTGGGGAAGCTTTGGGTTATATCAGGCAGACTTGCCTGCAGGTGAAGGATCACACATCCTCTTCACACTTGAGAATTGGCTTGGCTTGGTGTCTGCTCCTTGGCTTTTTAAAAAAATATTTTATTTATTTACTGGAAAGAGAGCACAAGCAGGGGGAGGGAGCCGTAGGCAGAAGGAGAGGGAGAAGTAGACTCCCTGCTGAGCAGGGAGCGTGTATGCAATGCAGTGTGGGGCTCGATCCAAGGACCCTGGGATCATGACCTGAGCCTAAGGCAGACACTTAAGCAACCAAGCCACCCAGGCACCCTGAGAAAGGCTTTTTGAGGCTCACAGCTTGGGGAGGATGTGGGCTTGCAGTGGGTTTGCTGGGAGGGGAGATATACTAAGGCCAGAAGGCTTGGAAGCCTCTGGAGTGGACAGTAGCCTGCAGTACTTATTTCCGAGTCAGACTTGGAGCCAGAGGAATTTTAGAAGTAGGTTTGACCTTTGAAAATTCCATGGGTCAGCATTTACCATGGAAAACTCATGCAAAAAAGGGACCTCTAAACAGATCATATTGGAAACAACAGTTTATACGTTAGTGGGGTTTTATGTTTGTTTTCTTGCCTAGTTTTTATTGTACTCAATATCACAAGTCATTTTCAACCCTAACCAATGACAATCAATGTAGCCACTGTGTTATCTCAAACATCTGGGCTTCAAAAAGGAACTAGTAGGGAAGTTTTTAGCAGTTCCCCAAAGGTATACTTTGAGGATACTCTTAGACTGGCATGCTTTACTGTTTTCCAACTAGTTTATAAATTATTATTTGATAATTTTTTTTTCTAATTGCCCATTGGACAATCGGCAACAATCTCACAGTCTTTCTTTGGAACAATCAGATTCTGTAAATTTTCCCCTTAAGTTTATTGAGAAAGAATTGACATATAACATATATAAGTTGAAGGTGTACAATGTTAATTTGATACACGTACATATTGTGAAGCGATCACCAAATAGAGTTAATGAACCCATCCATCACCTCACCTAATTACTATTTTTGTGTGTGTGTGGTGGTGAGAACATTTAAGATCTGCACTCCCAGCAACTTTCAAATATATAACGCAGTATTGTTAACTAAAGTCCCCATGCTGTACATAAGATCCCCAGAACTTGGGCCTCTTATATCTGAAAGTCTGTACCTTTTTAATGAACAACTCCCATTTCCTTCACTCTCTGTCCCCTGGCAGCCACTGTTTTACTCTCTGTTTCAATGAATTTGGCCTTTTTAGATTATACATATAAGTGAGATCATGCGGTATATCTGACTTACAGGCATTCCTTGGAAGTATTATGGGTTTGGTTCCAGATCCCTCCAATAAAGCAAATAATGCAACAAAGCAAGGCAAATTACTTTTTTTTTTTGCTGCATATCAAATTTATGTTTATTTATTTTTAAAGATTTCATTTATTTATTCATTAGAGACACACACAGAGAGAGGCAGAGACCCAGGCAGAGGGAGAAGCAGGCTCCATGTAGGGAGCCTGATGTGGGACTCGATCCCGGGGCTCCAGGATCACACCCTGAGGGGAAGGCAGATGCTTAACCACTGAGCAACCCAGGCATCCCTCAAATTATGTTTAGACTATACTTGTAGTCTGTTAACTGTGCAATAGCATACATCTGAAAAAAAAAATAGACACACCTTCATCAAAAGTACTATATTACTAGAAAATGTTAACCATGGGGATCCCTGGGTGGCTCAGTGGTTCGGCGCCTGCCTTTGGTCTGGGGTGCGATCCTGGAGTCCTGGGATGGAGTCCCGCGTCAGGCTCCCGGCATGGAGCTTGCTTCTCCGTCCTCCTGTGTCTCTGCCTCTCTCTCTCTCTCTCTCTCTCTCTCTCTCTCTCTGTCTCTCTGTCTGTCTGTCTCTCTCTGTGTCTATCATAAATAAATAAACAAATTTTAAAAAATGTTAACCATCATCTGAATTTTCAGTGGGTCATAATAACTGATCACAGATCACCATAATATGTATAATAATGATGAGAAGGTTAGGAATCTTGTGAGAATTACCAAAATGTGAAAGAGACAGGAAATGAGCAAATGTTGGAAAACGTCACTGATTGACTTGCCTGATACAGGGTTGCCGCAAATGTTCAATAAAAATTGCAGTATCTTTGAACCAAAATAAAATGAAACATAATAAAATGAGATGTTCCTGTATTTTGCTTAGCTTAATGCCTTCAAGGTCTACCCATGTTGTCACAAATGGCAGGATGCCCTTCTTTCTCATGACTGAATAATGTCCTGTTCTATACACATGCCACATTTTCTTTATCCGTTCATCTGTTGATGGACACTTAGGTTGTTTCTGTGCTTTGGCTACTATGAATAATGCTGTAGGGAACATGGGAGATACCCCCTCAAAATAGTGATTTCATTTCCTTTGGATATATACCAAGAAGTGGGATGGCTGGATCATATGATAGTTCTATTTTTAAGTTTTTTGAAAAAAACTCCATACTGTTTTCCATAGTGGCTGTAATTATCAAGTTTCTTTACTGCCCTTTACTCCTCCTACCTTTACTTGGTAATGTACATTGTGAATTTCTGAGGCAGGGTACTGCTTCCCATTCTCTAAACTACCCCCTTCCCCCTTTTTAAAAGACTTTATTTATTTGGGAGAGAGAGAAGAGAGAGCACGAGTGAAAGAGAGGAGACAGAGGGAGAAGCAGGCTCCCCACTGAGCAGGGAGCCTGATGTGGGGCTCCATCCCAGGACCCTGGGATCATAACCTGACCCGAAGGCAAATGCTTAATGGACTGAGCTGCCCAGGCGCCCCTCTATTTTTTTTTCTTTCTATATTTTATTATTTCAAACCAGGTGAACAATTCTATAAAACATCTGAAAAAAGCGAGGAAGTTTTTAACGCTGGTCATTCCTGGAACCTAGGACAAGGAGCAGCTTCAAACAGGGAGGCCTGTGGCAGTTCCTCCTCGAGTCTCTGGAACTGAGAGAGGGGACAGGGGAGCCAAGAACAGAAAGAGGAAAAGGGGGAAAGCAGCCAAGGAAGATGGGGGGGGGGTGCAGGCAGGGAGCATGGTCCTCTTGCCCCTGTCTTCCTCAGGAGCTGGGGGAGCAGTTGGCAGTGGTCCATCCAGGCACCCCTCTAAATGCTTTTTTCACAATGCATTGCAAGGGACCTCTATTTCCTAGGACACACTTTGGGGAAATGTAGGAATAATCTTTCTCTTTGTATCTTTGTTTTTCAAAGAAACCCCAGTTTTTCTTATCATAACTTTGGACCTGGAATTCCAGTGAGCTCCCATTTAAGTGGTGTCCTATCTTCCTTACCTGTCTATATCAGAACTCATCAGAATTTATTTGTTAATGACTGATAGGCTCTATGTGAGTAGTTTTAGTGTTTTCTCGTTTTTTTTTAAGAAGGTGTTAAAATTCTGGTGGCCTCCAAAAATAATACAATATAATTATGCTATTAATAATGCAATGTTATTAATAATATAATTTTTATATATGATTATATGATTCAAGGGCTATCCCTTCAGTAATAATATGATATATAATAACATAAGGCTGTCCCTTCCCACCTTCCCCCTCCCTCTACTGGATACACTTTATATTTTTACAGTTCTGTGTCAAGGGGTATTAGATGTACCCAGAAAATTACACAGAGGTCCCATGGAGGAAAGTGGAATTTAAGTGTTCAGAAGCAGCATGCTGTCCTAAATGGCTCTGTCCTATTACTGCCAGCCTTCTAACTCCTTATCCAAGTCTATCTCATTCACTGTTCTGGATTATCTTTCTAATGCTGAGCCACATTTCAAGAGACAAAAAACAAACAGAAAACAAACAAAACCCCGACAAGAAACAAAAAGTGTCCTTCCTGGGGAAAGAATATCCTATTATATGATACATAGCATATATATTCTATACAGCAGACTTTCTCCCTCCCTTTCCTCAGGAACTGGATGCCTTTCAGCCCTACCCTGCTGAAATAATGCCAGGCAAGATCTACCTGGGCAATTTCAGGCAAGCCTGCGACCCAAAAATTCAGAAGGATTTGAAAATCAAAGCACATGTCAATATCTCCATGGAGACAGGGCCATTGTGAGTAGAAATACACTTGATTTTTAAAAATTAAGCATTTATATAAGATTCCTAATGTTGTGCATTTATAGAGCTGAAAGGGCTTTCGAAGTCAGCACATACTGGAATAGGCTCTGTACTTACCTTCATCTGTGTCTGGCTTGTAATCTATTTCCTGGCTTGGCTGTGGCATCTGCTGCCTCTGAGACCCAATACTTACCCTTCAGATCTCACCAAAAGTAATGCTTCCTGGGTATTGAACATTGTGGTACGGAGTATTCCATTTTACCTTGCTTTGCTTATCTTAGGCCCTCTGAGAAATGTCCCCTGTCTTAGTCTATTGGGGCTGCAATAGCAGAATACCATAGACTGGTGGTTCATAAACAAAGTAAATTTATTTCTCATCAGTGTGGAGGCTGGGAAAATCCAAGATCAAGTCACCAGCAGATTCGGTGTCTGGTGAGAGCTTGCTTTCTGGCTCATAGACAGCCCTGTTTTTACTGTGTCTTCACATGGCAGAAGGGGCCAGAGGGTGATCTGGGACCTCTTCTACAAGGGCGTTAATCTCATCTGGGAGGGCTTCATCCTCATGACCAGATTTACAGTCCCACTTTAAGCAACCTCAAAACCCCAGATAAAACATTAAAACAAGGGTTTCCAGACAATGGCCAACAGGCAGCATAGGACATTGATTCCTGAGAGGAGGGAAAATAATAAGAAGAGCCCTTCAGTTGATCCTGCTTATTGCTAGGAGACTGTTTGCAGGTCACAATACAGGAAACAGGCCAAGACGGATCCTGTCATTCCTTCTGAGTTGAGGGTACAGAGTTGAGAATTCATTGGCTAAGTTGGCTAGAATTTGCAAGAGAGGGCTGCATGGAGAATAGAGAGCTGAATATAAAGAAAAAACTCTTAACATCTGTAGAATGCCCCCTGACTCTTCAGCTGAATACTGATAAGCACACACATGTGAGGAGACAACTCAAGGCTGGGAGAAAAACCAGTAGAAATGAACAAACAGTACAATCCCCAGAGATTATGTAGGGCTAAGAGTAGTTTGCATTTCCGATCAGAATAGACAAACCCACAATATACTAGGCATCAAAGAGGGCACTGAGAAAAGTGCTGCCTCGGTTGTGAGGAAAAACTATCTCTAGGCTAGGTATGAAAATGTCTGAGATGAAACATACACTGGATGGATTTCATGACAGATTAGACACTGCAGAAGAAAAGACTGGTGAATTTGAAGACCTACTAGTAGAAAGTGTCCAAAATGAAACCTAGGGAAGAAAAAGAAGAAAAGAAAGAACGTAAGGAAGAGAAGAGAAGAAAAGAGAAGAGAAGAAGGAAAAAGCAAAACAGAATGTCAGTGAGACTGAGATAATTCAAGGGGCTGAACATATGTATAAATTAGAATCTCCAAAGGAGAGGAAAGTGAAAAGACAGAAAACATATTTAAAGAAATGATGGCCAAAAATTTTTCTAAATTTGATAAAAGCCATAAATAAACAAAAGTTATCACCAGAAATAATAATTATGTAGATAAATATAAAATACTTTCACTGTTGCTTTTATATCTCTTCAAAACATAATTGGTCACCTGGGCACCTGGATGGCTCAGTCTGTTAAAGAGTCCAACTCTTGACTTGGTTTCAGGTCATGACTCAGGGTCATGAGACTGAGCCCTGTGTCAGGCTTGTGCTGGGCCTGCCTGCTCAAGATTCTCTCTCTCCCTCTCCCTCTGTCCCTCACCTCTCTAAAACAACAAAAACAAAAAAGACCCCCCCCCCAAAAAAAAAAAAACAAAACCATCATTGATCACAGAAAAAATAGTAACAGTGTATTTTGAGATTATAGCATATGTAGAAGTAATATGTATGCCTGAAGTTTACTAAGGCAGGAAGAGGCAGGATAAAAGTATACACTTGCAAGATTCTTACTCTATTTCCATGAAGTGGTATAATGTAATAAAAAGTAAAAGATGGGGGCACCTGGGTGGCTTAGTCAGTTAAGCATCTGCCTTTGCCTCAGGTCATGATCCGGGGGTCCTGCTCAGTGGGGAGCCTGCTTCCCCCTTTCCCTCTGCTATTCTCCCCACTTGCTTATGCTGTGCTGTCTGTCAAATAAATAAAATATTTTTAAAAAAAGAGTTAAAGATGTGTTCTGGAAACTCTAAAGCAATCACCAAAAGCTAGAACAAAATGATAAGTAAAACAGTTGTAATTAATAAGACAAAAAAAGAAAATGGAATCATTAAAAAATCCAAAAGAAGGCAGGAAAAGAAGAATAAAGATGAGATGAGGCCAATAAAAAACAAATAGCAAGATGATCATGTCAATAATCACACTAAGTGCAAATGGCCTAAATACCCCCAATTTAAAGGCAGAGGTGTTACAAACTGTCTACAAGAAACATACTTTTTTTTTAAGTTTAAGTAATTTTTGCACCCAATGTGGGGCTTGAACCCATGACCCTGAGATCATGAGTTGCATGCTCCTCTGACTGAGCCAGCCAGGTGCCAGAAATGTACTTTTTAAATACAAAATGAAGATAGGTTAAAAAGGGTGGGAAAAGATACTTCAAGCTAAGACTAATTAAAAAAAAAAGACAAATCACCAACTTTTGGAATGACTCCATTATTAGAAAAATTGAACTTCACAGCAAAGAATACTACCAGATATAAAGAGGTCATTTCATTATGGGAAGGTAGGCAATAATCTAGACTCTAGATTCTAGAGAAATTCACAGTTCTAACTAGATTTCAACATCTCTCTCTCAAAAGACAGGTTAGGTTAATAGGTTATAATTTCAAAGACTAGGAGAGTAAATTTGCCTAATTGACAATTATAGGACACTACCCAGTAACAGTAGCATTCTTCTGGTCTTTGAATGTGTTCTACAGTATGCATTCTTTTCAAGAGAACGTGGAACGTTTTTGACAAGATAGAGTATTCTGTGCATTAAAACAAGTATCAAAAGAAAAAAGAATTTGTTATAAAAAATTATGTCCTCTGATTACAGTGGAAAAAGTTAGAAGCCAATAAGCCAAACAAGATATCTGAGAAGAATCCCAAATGTTGAAACTAAGTAACAGACTTCTAAGTAGCCTGTAGATTGTAAAGAAACCAAAAGGAAAGTTAAAATATTTTGAGCTGAATGAAAAGTAAAAAAACAAATCAGAATTTGTGGATGCAGCTAAAGCAATGCTTAGAGGGAAATTTAAAGCCTAAATGCCTATATGAGAAGAGTCTCAAATCAAATCAAGGACCTGAACTTTCACCTTAATAAAAAAATGAGAAAAAGTAAAGAGGAGGAAGGAAATGACAATGGTAAGAGAGGAAATAAGTGGAATAGAAAACAAAATAATTTGAGAAACACAATGAAAACAATAACTGGCTCTCTGAAAAGAGCAGTAATATTGCCAAAACTATACCAACTGATCAAAAAGGAAGACAAAAATTATGAATAATAGGTATAAAAGAAGGAACATTTTCACTTTGGACCCTACAAATATTAAAAGACATTATTTTGGCATTTATCCCACAGAAGTGAAAACTCAAATTCATACAAAACCTATACATGAACGTCCACAGTGGCTATTCAGCTGGTGAATGGTTGTACAAACTGTGGTGTACACATATCATAGAATACTACTCAGTGATAAAAGGAATGAACTATTGACATTGCAAACTTGGTTAAATCTCTAGGGAATTAACCAGACAATCAGAATAAGAATAAGGCAGTCCCAAAAGGTTATATATTATATGATCCCATTTATGCAGCATTTTTTGATCTCATAAAATTTTATAAATAAAGGACAGATTCGTGGTTACCAGAAGTTAGGAAAGCTAGAGGGTAGGAGGTATGGTTACAAAGGGCAACATGAGGCATTGTTGGCGTTAGAACTGCTTAGTATTTTGACTGATAGTGGACGTGAATCCACCCAGGTGATAAATTTGTATAGAACTTTTTTTTTTAAGATTTTGTTCATTTATTCATGAGAGACACAGAAAGAGACAGAAACATAGGCAGAGGGAGAAGCAGGCTCCCTGCAGGGAGCCTGATGCGGAACTTGATCCCAAGACGCCAGGATCACAACCTGAGCCAAAGACAGACGCTCAACCACTGAGCCACCCAGGCACCCCTGTATAGAACTTCCTACATACACAACACACACACACACATACACACAATACAAGCAAAACTAGGGAATACAGTTGATAGATTGAATACACTTGATAGAATACAGTTGATAGATTGTATCAGCATCAGTATCCTGGTTGTGCTATTATAGTAGAGTGTGACCATTGGGGAAACTAGGCAAAGTGTGCAGTGGATCTCTCTGTATTACTTCTTACAACCACATGTGAATTTATGCTGATCTCAGTAAAATTTTTAATTAAACATTTAAAAATAATTAGGAAATATTATAAGCAATTTTATGCCAATGCACTTGAAATTTCAATTAAATGAACCAATTTCTTGAAAGACTCAAGTTATCCTCACTGAACAAAGAAATAGTTCATCTAAATAGCCCCCATATCTATTAAAGAAATTGAACTCATAGTAAAAAAACTTTTCACAAGGAGGACTCTACGGCCATATGGCTTCACTGGTGAGTTCTGCTGAACATTTAAGGGAGAAATAATACCTGATCCACACAGTCTTCCAGAAGATAAAAGAGGAGGGGACACTTTCCTATTCATTTATAAGACCATCATTACTCTGATACCCAAACCTGACACAAACTTTATAATAAAGGAAAACCTCAAAGCTCATGAGGATGGGTACAAAAATTCTTGATAAAATTTTAGCAAATTTGATCCAAAAATATATTAAAAAATTTACTCTAAAATTATATAAAAGGATCCAAAATTTTAGCCAGTTTGACCCAAAAATATGTAAAGAGATATACATGACCAAATGTATTTCTCCCAGGAAGATAAGGTTAGTTTAACATTAGAAGATCAATGTAATTTGCCATATTAACAGACTAGAAAAGAAAAAAACTTAAATTATCTTCAGAAAAGATACAGAAAAATGGCACCCCGCAGCTGCTGAATCTGTATTTTTAAAAAAGTTTACATGAAGGGGGACACCAGGTGGTTCAGGCGGTTGGGCATCCACTTTTGATTTTGGTTTCAGTCATGATCTCGGGGTCATAAGTTCAAGCCCTGGGTCAGGCTGTCTCAGTGAGGAGTGGTCTTCTCTCCCTCCACTCCACCCCCCTGCTCACGCTAGCTTGTGCTCTCTCTCAGACAGATATATAGATAGACAGATAGATAGATAAAATCTTTTCAAAAAGCTTACATAGAAGGAGCATTTATAAAACTTGACAATATTATAGTCCATACAGCAAGACTCAACCAATTTTAGGAGATTTAAAATCACATAGAGTTGCCTTTCAACCACTATGGAATCAATGTACAAAGCAATAACTTAAAAATATAATCAGAAAATTATTGGAAACTTAGAAACAGATTTTTATTTTTATTTATTTATTTAAGTGTGCTCCATGCTGGGCATGGAGCCCAGTGTGGGGCTTGAACTCACAACCCTGAGATCAAGACCTGAGTTGAGATCAGGAGTTGGACACTCAACTGACTGAGCCACCCAGGTGCCCCTAGAAATAAATTTTTAGGGCAGTTCAGGTGTCTCAGCAGTTTAGTGCTGACTTCAGCCCAGGGCGTTATCCTGGAGACCCGGGATCGAAGCCCCATGTCAGGCTCCCTGCATGGGACCTGCTTCTCCCTCTGCCTGTGTCTCTGCCTTTGTCTCTCTCTGTCTCTCTCTGTGTCTCTCATGAATAAATAAATAAAATCTTAAAAAAATAATAAAAGAAAACAAGAAAAAGATGCCTATTTTAAAAAAAAGAAATAAAAATTTAAATAGCATGGATTAAAGAAGAACTCATGATGGAAATTATAAAATATTTTCAACTACATAATAATAAAGATATAATGTGTTAAAACTTGTGGAATGCAGTTAAGCTGTGGGCAAAGAGAAATTTATAGCCTTAAATATATCTATTAAAAAGAAGAAAGGCTAAAAATCAACTAGTTAAGCATTCATCTCAAGGACTGACCAATTGAACAGCAAACTAAACCCAAAGAAGGGAAGGAAGGAATAGTAGAAGCAGATTATTGAACCAGAAACAATGAAATAGAGAGGATTGAGAAAGTCAAAGTAGTTAAAAAAAAAACAAACAAACAACTAATAAATCTGGGGCCTCTGGGTGGCTCAGTTGATTAAGCGGCTACCTTTGGCTCAGGTCATGATCCCAGGGTCCTGAGACTGAGTCATACAACCTGCTCCCTGCTCAGCAGGGTGTCTGCTTCTCCCTTTCTTCCCCACTTGTGCTATCTTGGTTGCTATCTCTATCTCTGTCTCTCTCTCAAATAAATAAATAAAATCTTAAAAAAATAAATTAGGGATCCCTGGGTGGCGCAGCGGTTTGGCGCCTGCCTTTGGCCCGGGGCGCGATCCTGGAGACCCGGGATCGAGTCCCACGTCGGGCTCCCGGTGCATGGAGCCTGCTTCTCCCTCTGCCTGTGTCTCTGCCTCTCTGTCTCTCTCTGTGTGACTATCATGAATAAATAAATAAAATCTTTAAAAATAAATAAATAAATAAATTACTGGAATAAACAGAAGATATACTGTGGTTATAGATTAGAAGCGTCCATTCTGGGGGCACCTGGGTGGCTCAGTTGGTTAAGCATCTGCCTTTGGCTCATGTCCTGATCCTAGGGTCCCTGGATGGAGCCCCATGTGGGGATCCCTGCTCAGAGGGAAATCTGCTTCTCCCTCTCTCTCTGTTCCTCCTCCATCTTGTGCACCCTCTCTTGGATAAATAAATCTTAAAAAAAAAAAGCATCTATTTTGTTAAGATCTTGATTCTTGTCCAATTGATCTACAGGTGCAGTGTAATGCCAATAAAATTCCAATAGATTTTAGAGTAATTCTAAAACTTATATGGGGGGGATCCCTGGGTGGCTCAGTGGTTTAGTGCCTGCCTTTGGCCCAGGGCGTGATCCTGGAGTCCCAGGATCGAGTCCCACATCGGGCTCCCTGCATGGAGCCTGCTTCTCCCTCTGCCTATGTCTCTGCTTCTCCCTCTCTCTCTGTCTCTCAGGAATAAATAAATAAAATCTTTAAAAAAATAAAAATAAAAAAAATAAAACTTATATGGAAGTGCAAAGGGCAAAAATAGCTGAATATCAAAGAACCTGAGATGAGAAACTTGCTTGAACAGATACCAAGTGGTAATAAACAGTAACAAGAAAGGCACTGTGATATTAGTGCAGTTAGAATACACCAATGGAGCAGAATAGAGTCCAGGCAGACCCATGCATATTTAGACACTTAAATTTTGACAGATTTTCTCCTATATTTTCTGATAAAAGTTTTATAATTTTAACTTTAATAGTGATCCATTTTCAAATAATTCTCACATATGGTGCCAGATGTAGAGCAAAGTTCATTGTTTTGCATATGGAAGCCATTGTTTGATGAGAAAAAAGATGATCCTTTTCCTGTTGATGGATTAGATACCTTTGTTGGAAACCAGTTGGCCATATGTGTATGGTATTATAACTGGATTCTTGATTCTTTTTTGTTGGTCTGTGTTTTTCTTCATATCAATTCCATACTCTTGCCTACTGTAGCTTTATGAAATCAGGTAGAGCTAGTTCTGTGATTTTGTTCTTTTTTCAAAGTTATCTCCTTTGCATTTCCAGTAAGTTTTGGAATCACCTTGTCAATTTCTACAAAAAGCCTGCTGGAATTTTGATTGGGATAGAATTGAATCTATAGGCCAATTTGGGGAGAACTGACATCTTACTAACTTTGAGTCTCCTGGTCATGAGCATGGTCCATCCCTCCATTTACTTTGTCTTTCATTTTTCTAGAAAATGCTTTATAGTTTCCAGTGTATAGGTCTTGTACATCTTGTGTCAGATTTCTTCCTAAGTATTTAATATTTTTGAGGTGGTTATAAATGGCATTTTTAAAATTTCAATTTCTTTTTTTATTAATAAATTAATTTTTTATTGGTGTTCAATTTACCAACATACAGAATAACACCCAGTGCTCATCCCGTCAAGTGTCCCCCTCAATGCCCGTCACCCAGTCACCCCCACCCCCCACCCTCCTCCCCTTCCACCACCCCTAGTTCGTTTCCCAGAGTTAGGAGTCTTAATGTTCTGTCTCCCTTTCTGATATTTCCCACACATTTCTTCTCCCTTCCCTTAAAATTTCAATTTCTGATTATTATTGCTAGTATATAGAAATACAGTTGATTTTTATATAGTAACCTTGTATCCCTCCACCTTTTCTATCTAGATTCCTCCTACATTATGAAGCTTTCCCCAGCTCCCTCAATTTCTCCCTGCCCTTCTTCTCCAGTATCACATGCAGGTCTTTATCACCAAACCTAGCTGATTGGATTGGGGCTATTTGTTTCTGTATCTGCCTCCCCCATCAGACTGGGAGCTCCTTGAAGCTGGGAGAGGCTGGTCCTATTTGATTCAGCTTGTGTCCACTAGGGTCCAGCCTAAAGTTTGGCACACAATAGGGATTGAGTGAGTGTCTGAGGAAAGAATGAATAGATGGATGGATGGATAGATGGGGGAGGGAGAGAGGGATAGATTGGAGGGAAAGATGGATGGATTGGTAGATAGGTGGATGGAGAGGTGGGTAGATGGTTGGATGGACAGATGGACAGACGTGGGTGGGTGGATGGATGAATGGATGGATGGGTGGGTATATGGATGGATGGATGGATGGACAGATGAATGGACAGATAGATGGGTGAGTGGGTGGATGGGTGGATGGATGGATGGATGGATGGATGGATAGTGGGTGGACAGATGGATGGATGGGAATTGTGCTTGTATTTGCTGAAACTAAACCAGACTGTTTTTGTTTCTAAATCTACTATAGCTTTCTGCATGCCACAGTAGTCTGCGTGCCCCTGAGTGTCACCAATAGACCCGTCTTCACAAATAACATTGCCCAAGTACTTACTACATGCCACACATTCTGCAAGCTCCTTGCAGGCATCCTCTCATTCAACATGCCACACACCTCCTCTCCCTCCTGTCTCTCCCTTGTCTGTGAAGTTCTAGCCACTCTGATCTCTCTGTTGTTTCTCAAGTCCACTAAACATACTGCCTCTCAGCACCTTTGCCCTTGTGTTCTCCCTTACCCAGAACCTTCTTTCCCCCAGATACTGCCTGGCTTGTTCCGTCACCTCCTTTAATTCTCTGCTCAAAGCCTCCCCTGACTACCCCATCTCAAATAGCCAGCCCACCACTCTCCATCTCACTTCCCTGGCTCTCTCCATTTAACATAGCAGGCTTATTCTCCAAGCGCTTTACATATTCCCTCCCATCCTCCTTTGACTTTCTGCAACAGGTTAATAATAATGTCACATTTATCGAGTGTTTACTATGTGCCAAGCAGACTGCCAAATGCTTTAATAGATCAAGTGACTTAATCTACATGACACCCCTATAAAGCAGATGCTTGTTTTCTGAGACAGGCTCAGTTATTTGCCCACCTCTCTGTGATGCTAGCTCAGCGTCCCTTCCCTGCAATCCTGCTGCTGTACATGAGGACCACTCCAGTGGGGCTGTGGGTGAGTCTGCCTGACTACCTGTGCTTTCTTTCTGTTCAGTTTCATAAACGATGATGACAATCTTCTACACATCAAGATAGAAGATTCCCTGGAAGCCAACATTTTCCCCTTTTTACGGCACCTCTGTCACTTCCTGGGTAAGGAGCCATCAGGGGCCAGGCAGCAACTGGCCTGTGCCCAGGGGCCAGAGGGGCTATGCACCTTGTCCGCATGGCTCTTCCTGATTGTGAGGAGAGGAAGGACAGGGCCCAGCCAAGGCCCAGGACAAGCTCACCTCTCAGGAGCCCTCAGCAGTGTGGACAGCCACATGTTTGCTTTGGGGGACATGGGGCCAAATAAGAGCACCAGATTGTAGATTGGATGCCCCCTATTATAACCCTGGGTGGACTGCTAGGCCCCATTGGGGCCTGGTCAAGCCCCAGTCCTGGTCTCACTGTGCCTGTTGGGAAACAGGTGTGCTAGTCCACTGTGTGGTACTGATGTCCAGGGAGGCCTGCTCTGGGCTGAGCTCTGGGGACTCAGAGGTGAATCGTGTGCCATCCGGGCATTCCTGTCTGGTCAGCAGGGTGGGGTGGAAGGAATACTCTAGAACCCTCCCAGCTCTGTCTCCTCGATCCTCCCAGTGTGTGTGCAGTGCCCTTCTGGCTGTCCTACCACACATGTCAGTGACCGCTCATTGAAGGTAGAATCTTCAGTCATTCCGGGGTTAGAGCCAGTTGGCTAGAGAGAGTGAGGTTGAGCAGGGTCAGGGGCCCCACCCCAGGACCACCTGCTCCACACTGGTGCAGTGTCCAGCTCGCATTGCTGCACAGGGGCTGGAGAATGATATGTCCGCCCAAACATCCCTTATTTGCCTTGGAGGTGGCAACTATCACTTGACTAGTATCTGAGATTGCAACTATCCACATGTCCCACCATGGGATGGCAGAGACCTGTGGCACCAAGGGCCCCTCCCCAGCCCTTACTTGCTCGGTGGCTCTGGGGCAGGCCTTAACTGCTCTGTGCTTCTGTTTCCTTATCTATATGATGAGACACTTGGCCTTCATCATCTTGAGGTCCTCCTCCAGAGCTGATAGTCTGTGATATCACGTTTGATATTTTATCTCCCGTTCTTGGGGGTTACTGGACTAGCCTAGGATGCCAGCTTAGATTTCCTCCCCACCCCTCACTGGGCAAGACCCAGCCTCAAGAGCATTATTAAGTGTTCATAGATGACATCTCTGTGCCAGGTGCTGGGCTAAAGCCCAGCACAAAATCTTATAAGGTAGATAATCTACTGTTGCCTTGTTTTCTAGATTATGGAATTGTGACTTAGAATAACATGCTCAGGCCCCACAGTTTGTGAGTGGAAGAGCCAGGATTCACACCCAGGCTGCAGTGTCTCCGTCAGCACCCAAGTGCCCTGGGTGGTGGTGGTGGTGGGGACTATCCTTTCATTCCACCCCGAGAGGCCAACGGGTAGCAGAGCTTCCTGGGCTGGAAGCCTGGAGACCCAAGAAAAGGCCTTTGCATGATAAAGCTAAACACCCAGTGTGATTCTCTTGAAGTGCCCCTTAGGTCTAGTGTCCTCATTTACCAGGTGACAAAACAGTGTCCTAGAGAGGTCACATGACTAGCTGAAGCCATGGTGTGTGATGGGTCCAAACTCACTCCTGGGCCCTGGGCCCACTGAAACTGGTCAGCTTATAGCACCTCACACCCACACCTACCTTTATCTTGCAGAAATTCATCTCCAGCTAGGCTCGGTCATCCTGGTCTTTTCCACACTGGGCATCAGTCGCAGCTGTGCGGCCATCTTGGCCTTCCTCATACACTGGAATGAGCAGACCTTGAAGGTATGCATTCCCCAGGCAAGGGTCAGACTGCAGCTACGTGCAGCAGACAGGGTCAGAGCTGGACCAGGGAGGAAGGAGGCCCCAACTGGGGGTAGGGGGTGGGAAGAGAAGGGTCTGGAAAGAGAGCTCTAAGTCCAGGGCTTGACCCAGCATACCACACACAAGGGCAAGGTCCCAAGGGTCTGGGTCAGAGGCTGAGACTGTACGTTAGAGGTCTGGGACCTGGGAATATGGGACAGTCACCAGGGGCTCAAGCTGGGGAAGGCCATGGCCAGCAGCACCATCCGCACGTCCTCTGCTGCTATCAATCCTTCTACCAGCCTCCGTCAGGCTTCTCCAAGGGAGGTACGTTTTGGCTATTGCTTGGAGCCAGGGAACTGCAGCCCCAGCAGGATTCCCAGGGCACTTGCTCCCTTTACCCAGACTGACAAAGAGGGCAGGGACCTGTTGCCACAAACCCTGTGAAACCAGGGCTCCAGATGCCAAGGGCAGCACCTTGTCCCTGCACTAGGTAGGAGATGGCAGCTTGCCCTAAGAGGAGGCACAGCTTGAGCGTGACTTCAGAGGTCTTTGGTGGGACCAGAAAAAGCTCCCATGTACCTCCAGGATTGTGCTTGAGGGTCAGAGAAGGACCATGGTCAGAGCCCATTGCCAATGGTTTTGGATATCGACCCCACGTGCTCTTTGGGGGTGAAATTGCAAGCTAGAAAGAGTCTTGGATGGCCAGCAATTCTACCTGTAGGTACATCCCCAAAAGGGAATGGAAGCAAGAGCTCAGGTGTTTGTAGAGCTATGTTCATTAATAGAAATGTTGTTCACGATAGCCAAGAGGTGGGAGCAACCCAAGTGTCCATTGACAGATAGAGGGATATTAAATGAATGGTCTATCCACAGTGTAATATTACTCAGCCTTAAAAGGGAAGGGCATTTTGATACCTGCTGCCACACAGTTGAACCTGGAAGACATTATGATGAGTGGAATAAGCCAGTCACAGAAGGACAAGTAACTGTATGATTCTACTTATATGAGGTCCCCAGACTCATCAGATTCACAGACTTGGGAGGTAGCATGGTGTGTGCCCAGGGAAGGGGACAGTGGGAATGAGAAGTTGTTTAGTGGCTATGGAGCTTTGGTTTGGGAAAATGGAAAAAACTTCTGGAGGTGGATGGTGGTGATGGTTACCCAACATGGCGAATGTACTTAATGCCACTGTATATCCAAACACTGTTGAAATGGTATGTTTTCTGTTGTGTATATTTAAAAAGAAAAGCATCTAAGGGCAGAATCACAGGCCCAGAGCCCTGTTTTCTCACCCCCCAAGAGTTGAATTGTCAGGGATCCTTGCCTGTTGGAGTATTTTGGTGTGTGCTGGGGGGAGGGAGTGATGTTGCTGATAAATCTGGGGAAGGACGCCTGTGCTGTTGCTCCTTTAGAGATGCCTCTCCAGCCACCTCCCCAGGAACAGGCTCTGGCTTGCAAGTGGCCTCTTCTTCTCTGCCTTGTCAAGCTGGAATGTAGAGAAGACCTGGAGCTGGCAGGAGGCAGGCTGAGCTTACTGCCTGCAGAGGAAGTTCTAGGACATGAGCTCCCCTGGAGTTTGGATGGGGCCCATTGTGCTCCCTGGCTTCTTGGTTGCTCACAGTAAGGTCTGGGCTCAAAAAAGATCGACAGCCTTGCAACTCTGATATTTAGGGGTGCTTCCTGGCCCTGACCAGCAAGTCACAGTCTTGTCTTGGTTCATATCACACGCAGATATCACAGCTGCTTCCAGAGCCAAGGCTGGGGGAGAACAAAGAAAGAGGAACCCCATCTGGTTCCTCTGAGTTTTCCAGCAGTGAGGGCCCATGCAGGTCTGCCCCCTGACCTTTACTCACCCCTGCACAACTCCAGCCCATCTGCGTGTGGCTGTCCTGATCAGTGGGCAGACAGGTGCTTGGGCCCTCGAGGACCAGCCAGCCCTTGCTCTCAGGAAAAACCCTGGGGCTCCCATCCTGGGGCAGCGATCTTTGTCTTATGTACAGGGAAGTCCTGTTGCTGGGCATTGTGCCCTGAGATGCCATCTAGATAACTCTTGATAAATAGAGCTGTGGACAGGAAGGACTGCCACTGTGACCTTGCTGGGTCCTTTCCAGGCCAAGTCCGGTGTGGTGGTTCGATTTTCTTGCTAACAAGCAATGCCCTGGATTGTTGACAGAGGTTGACCTGGGCTCCGCTCTGCTGCTGCCTGGAGTCCAGAGAGATGTTCCTTCCTCCTTGTTGTCTCTGTAGTCCTGGGGTCCTCCTCAGTGCATTCGGGAAACTGTGCCCCTCGCTGTTGTCAGCTTAGTGGTGGTAGTCAGAGCCCATAGGACTGGCAAAAAAGGGTGTGAGCCACTCTTGAGCAATATACTGCTTCCTGGGACTTATGGTCCTCACTCAGTTCCTCAGGCGATACCAAGACCAGGAGTGGGAAGTTGAGGAGTGAACTGGGAATAACCTGGTGCCCCAGGGCCATCCTGCCTGTCACAAGCTTTCAAAACTTTGGTACGAGGTTGTATGGGCTCCTAGAGCCAGCAAGCCCTTAAGAAATCTATTTCTGTTCCTTTAAAGTACAAGGAGTAACTTTATCCTGTAAAGATCTTCAGAGGAAAAAAAAAAAAAACAACAACAAGCCAACTCCTGCGGCATTATAACAGCTAACATTGGCGGAGTGCTTCCCGCTTGCGGTTATGAGTACTTTATGTGTAATGAAAACACAGTGACCCCATGGCATGCTGTTATTTCCATCCTGCAGGAGGCTCATAGAGGCTGACTAACTTGCCCACGGCCCCACAGCTTTAAGTAGCAGAGCTGGAATCCAAAGCCACATGACCCCAGTTCAGAATCTGGGCTTTTCATAGGGCCCTAAGGCAGCAGGAGGGGAGCAGTCTGAAGGATGGGTGTGTGCTTGCTGCTGCCCCTTAACAAGAGGTATCCGGCCATGACCCTTCATCCTTCTATCCCACTGGTGTTTGCTGTGAGTCCCAGCAGATACTTTGTGGGCTGGAAAAATGAGTTGTGAGCAGTGAGCGTGGGGAGCTATGGTTATGGTTTGTCCTCAAGGGCCCAATCTGACCAGGACTTAGTCAACTTTAGAACTACATAGCTGTGCCTGGGGTACCACCGATTTTTTTTTTCATGTATATAATGGCAAAATACACATAACACAAAATTTACCATCTCTGTCATTTTTAAGTATATAGTTCAGCAGCATTAAATACATTTACATTGTTGTGCAACCAATCTCCAGAATCCTTTTCTTTCTTTCTTTTTTTTTTTTTAAAGATTTTTAAAATTTCTTCATGAGAGACACAGAGAGAGGCAGAGACATTGGCAGAAGGAGAAACAGGCTCCCTGAGGGGAGCCCAGTGCGGGCCTCGATCCCAGGACCCTGGGATCATACATGAGCCAAAGGCAGATGCTCAACCACCGAGCTACCCAAGTGTCCCCACCCCCCACCCAAAACCCTTTTCATCCTGCAAAACTGAAACACTATATTCATTAAATAGCAACTCCCCATTCTCCTTTCTCCCCTGTTCCTGGCAGCTACTTTCTGTGTCTATAAATTTGACTACACTAGGTACCTCATATAAGTGGAATCATACAGTATTTGTTCTTTTGTGTGACTGGCTTATTTCACTGAGCAGAATGTCCTCAAGGCTCATTCATATTATAACATATGTTCAAATTGCCTTGCTTTTTGAGGCTGAATCATATTCTGTTGTATGTAGTATTCATTCGCTGTGAGCCCATCTGGGCCTGGTATCAAATCCAAAATATTATCACCAAGACTGATATCAGGGAGCTTACTGGATATGATTTCTTCTAGGAGCATAATGGTTTCAGGTCTTAGATTCAAACCTTTAATTTATTTTGAGTTGATTTTTGTGTATGGAGTAAGACATGATCCAGTTTCACTATTTTGGATATGGCTGTCCAGCTTTCCCAATGCCACTTATTGAAGAGACTGTCCTTTACCTGTTGTATATTCTTGTTTCCTTTGTCATAAATTAATTGAAAATATATGTGTGGGTTTATTTCTAGAGTGTTTCGTTACATTGATCTATGTGTATATTTTTATGCCAACCCCATCCTGCTTTGATTATTGTAGGTTTGTAATATGGTTTGAAATCAGGATGTGATGCCTCTAGCTTTTTCTTTTTTCTCAAGATTGCTTTAGTTATCTGAGGGTCTTATGGTTCTGTACAAATTTTAGGATTGATTGTTCTACTTCTGTGAAAACTTCCATGGGTTTTTTTTTAAGTTTTTATTTATTTATTCATGAGAGACATAGAGAGAAAGAGAGAGGCAGAGACACAGGGAGAGGGAGAAGCAGGCTTCATGCAGGGAACCCGACATGGGACTCGATCCCAGGTCTCCAGGATCACACCCTGGGCTGAAGGCGGTGCTAAACTGCTGAGCCACTGGGGCTGCCCTTCCATGGGAATTTTGACAGGGATTGTGTCGAATCTGTAGATTGCTTTGGGTAGTATAAACATTTTAACACTATTAATACTTCCAATCCATGAACATGGAGTATCTTTCTATTTATTTGTGTCTTCTTCAGTGTCTTTTATCAATGTCTTACAGTTTTCAGTGTACAGGTTTTCACCTCCTTGGCTAAATTTACCCCTGGTATTTTATTCTTTTTGATGCAATTGTAAATGGGACTGTTCTCTTAATTTCTCTTTCTGATAGTTCATTATTAGTGCATAGAAGTGTACCTGATTTTTGTGTATTGATATTGTATACTGCAACTTTATTGAATTTGTTTATTAGTCCTAACGGTTTTTTGATGGAGACCTAGGGTGGGTTGGCTTGCCTGCTTGCTTGCTTGCCTGCCTTCCTTTCTTTCTTCCTTCCCTCCCAACTTCCTTCCTTCCTTCTTTCTTCTTAAGATTTTATTTCTAAGTAATTTCTGCATCCAGTGTGGGGCTTGAACCCACAATGCTGAGATCAAGAGTCATATGCTTCACCGACT